AGGAAAGGCAGGGACTCATGAGGTTCCAACCCACCCACCCATGACAGATAGTTAATGGACCTAATTTTGTGCATATTTCCTGTGGCCAATCACAGCTACTGAGAGTTCAAAGGTGTGAACCTCATGTCATGCCGAGGACAATGGTCCATAACACCAACTCTCCTCCCACTCTCACTCTCTGTCCTGGGAAAATGTAAACGGGGACACCAGCTTTGGATTTCAGGCTTCAGGCAGGATACAGTGAAGCGGTTGAAGATAATCTAAATGGTCCCCAGTGCTGAGAGTGCCCTTCACTCACTCCAGGTGCTTTTGCTTAGAAGGACCAGGGACTCTGGGAGGGAGGTGGATTTGGTGGCTTTGCTAGTTCAGAGACGGAGAACCAGGGGAGGAAGAAGAACCATCTAGAAAGAGCAGGAGGATCTCTTGGGGACCAAGTGTACTGCTTAAAGCAGTAACCAGAAAAGTTGTTGTCTAGTATGACAAGGACTCTGAAGATGTGAAAGCTTGGGTGTCATATTCTACATCTGATTGCTAAGCATGATCTCCTGGGTTATTTTTTTGGAGGGGGTGAATTAATTACTTTTCTTATAGCTCCAACAAAATACTTGACAAAGACAATTTAAAGAAGGTAGGGTTTATTTTAGCTCACAGTTCAAGGGTATAGTCCTTCATGGAGCAGAGGTTGAAGCAGGTAGTCCCATTACATCCACAGTCAAGAAGCAAAGAGGGGAATGAGAATATTCAGCTTAATCTCTCTGCTTTTGCACAGTGTAGGATCCCAGGCCATGGAATTCTCTGCTTACATTCAGGATAGCTCTTTCCACCTGTTGTCAACTTGGCCACATGGAATAACTGAAATCCAAGCTGCTGGACACTCCTGTGAGGAATTTTCTTAATCGAATTGTTTGAAGCAGGAAGACCCACCCTAAATCTGGGCCACCCCTTCTGGTGGCAGCCAAGATGGAAGGGTGTGGAGGAAGGAAGCTTTCCTTTTTCTCTGCTTGCCCTTACTCTCACCGACATGTTCATCTGTGCTGTTGCTGCAGCTGGTATTAAATCCAACTTCTTCAGCATTCCAGTAGAGGCTGAAAACTAGCATCTCTCTGAGAATCCCCAGGTCTCCAGCATCAAATCAGGACTGCTAGGACATCAGGTCTCGTGGACTGAACAACTACCATCTGGTTACAGCCTTTCAGTTGTGAGGCAGCCATTGTTAGACTTCTGGACCACAGCCTGCAAACCAGCCTAATAAGTCCCCTCTCATTTGTACACACACACACACACACACACACACACACACACACACACACAAACACAAACACACAGACAAACAACCAATACATATATATTCACTCTATTGGTTTTGTTCTTTTATAACATCCTGACTAATACACCACCTCAATTACTCTAATCTAGATAATCCCTCACAGCAATGCCCACAGGCTTGTCTCTTTGGTGATTCCAGCTCCTATCAAGTTGACAATCAAGATTAAGCATGACAGGGGATTAGCATTCTCTGATCTCTTCTGATTAATCCTAATCTCTTCTGACTGGCCTCATTAAGCATGTCTTTGAGGTTTGCTTCAGGTCTCCTTTCTTCTGGAAGCTTCCTTGGTTGTGCTGGTTGGGGGGAAATGAATTCCCACATGCTCTTACCATCCCACAGCCCTTCTGGCTACATGGACTTCTTCAGAGTAAACCATTTGCCCAAATCCTCATTGATGACCATAGTAGGTACATGGTACTTATTGCCGATCTGTTGAAGGGCTCAACAAATGGATCACGTGACCCCTCTGTGAATGGTGTTTATGTACTTTTATTTTTGTCTTTGAACTCGTTTGGGTAACGGCACACATGTACATCTCTGTGAAGGGTGACATCACGTCGGGTGTTTCTGTGGGTGCTGGAGATTAACCCTGGATCCTCATGTTTAAATGTTTTGTGGTGTGAGCCATCTCCCCAGGCACCTGCAAGACTTTTGACTCTCCCTGTGAATCTTATATATTTGTGCTTTTCCTTCCTGTGACTAAATGACTCAAAAGAGGAATTTTGCTTTGTTCATTTATTTTGGCTCTCAGTTTTGGAGGAGATTTCAGTTTACAGTGTGCATACTCCATTGATTTTGACCAGAGGTGAGGTAGCTGTGGTATGTGACCCAGGCAGGATGCTGCTTAATTCATGGAAGTTAGGAAGCAAAGAGAGGGTGAAAGAAAGCAGGCAGGTTTTGGTGGCACAGATTGGTAGGATTTGCTGAAGGAGGCAGAGGCAGAAAGATCTGGAGTTCGAGGCTACCCTAGGATACACTTTTTAGCCAGGCAGTGGTGGCGCATGCCTTTAATCCCAGCACTCTGGAGGCAGAGACAGGCGGATCTCTGTGAGTTCGAGCGAGTTCCAGGCTGGACTCCAAAGCAATATAGAGAAACCCTGACTTGGAAAAAAAGAAAAAAAAGAAAAAAAAAAAAAGAAAGCAGTAAGTGGGTGGGACAACAGAAACTCATCAAAGTCACTCAAGTGCACCATTTCCTTCAACTAGGCCCTGCATCCTAACAGACCACTTGGTCACTTTCATGATGGTGTTATCTCTCAATAGCACCTCCAGGTAGGGACCATGATTTCAACTCATGAACCTTTCTGAGGATGTTTATTCCCCGAGCCATCAGACCCAGTTTTTGTGTTTCTTCTTCTTCTTCTTCTTCTTCTTCTTCTTCTTCTTCTTCTTCTTCTTCTTCTTCTTCTTCTTCTTCATTTCAGGGTAATTTATCCAGATTATTAAAAATAGTAGCTGGGAGACAGAAGCATGAGAATCAAATACTCAGGGCCATCTTTACCCACTGAGAGATGGCTCAGTGGGTAAAGGTACCTGCCACCTAATGACCTGAATTTGATGACTGGGTTGCTTTTGGTGGAAGGAGAAAACTGACTCCAAAAGTTGTCCTCTGACTTCCACAACCATGTTATGGCACAGACATACACATATATACAATAAGTAAATAAATGTTTAAAAATGGCTAGTTCCAGGACAGCCTCCAAAGCCACAGAGAAACCCTGTCTCAAAAAACCAAGAGTTCAAGGCCATCTTGGGATATATAGAGAGTTTGAGGCTAGACTGAACTACACAAGACCATGTCTCCGAGGAATGCTTTTCCATTGTAAAACCAAAATAGAGTTATTACATAAATGTAGATGCAAGGATGGAAGCAGTTCTTCCTACCCCACACCGTGTTGAACCGATAACTCAGGGATGTTAATGGAGACCTTGCAGGCTGATATGGCTGCAATGTGGGGTGCCAGAGGGACTGAGGAGATGGGCTGTGGAGGTGGAGAGGGCCCTGGTCATGGCACCTTTTATATGAGCCTACAGTGAAGAGACTTTGGGGTTTTATTTTTTAATGGTGTGTGTGTGTGTGTGTGTGTGTGTGTGTGTGTGCTTGTACTCAAACACATGAGGAGGTGTAAGGATAACTTTTGGGAATCACTTCTCTCCTTCATATCATATGCCATGAATGGCCCCACCCACAATTGGCTGGGTCCTCCCCCTATAAGTCACTAATCAAGAAAATGCCTTACAAGCTTGCCTACAGATCTATCTTATGGAGGCATTTTCTCAGTTGACATTCCCTCCTCTCAGATGACTCTAGCTTGTGTTGAGTTGACAAAATCAGCCAGCACCTATTATTCTGTTTGGAGTCAGTGGGAGCCAGGTGGTGCTGTGCAGTAGGACAGAATGCAAGCAAAAGAAGATACTTATTCTTCCCCATGGAATGTATAGTAGAGTAACTAAATACTAACATAGCAATTATACAAGAGGTGAATGAAAAGTTCAAAACATCGTTCTACAAGGCTGATTAATTGATGAGAACTGGAGACCCCAGGCTGTTGCAGATCCAGAGCCAAACTATCTTGGGCGGTTAGTCCCTCAAATGGTCATTTATTACCAACCTATTTGTGAACCAAAAGCCTTATGACTTAGGAAAATTTATCTGGAGACCCCCTCAATCCCACCAACACGAAGGATAAGAATGTCAACAGTTAGCATCTGAGGCCTACAGCGGAGACTTCTCCACTTCATTAAAGCATACCTAAATTGATGTGCCCAGCAAAGTATTTAAGGGGTCTCTCATGGCTTTCTTTGTTTTGATATTATGAAAACTTCATGAGATTGTTACCTTATTAGAACACGAATTTATAATGATTTAACTGTGTTCCTGAGTCATGATCACTTATACTACAGAATAAGTTATCTCTTATTCCCTTTGAGGTGACAGTTGTGTGTTTTCATGTAGGCACATAATAAAAAGTGGAAACGAGGAGGCTGGAGAGGTAGTCGAGCGCTTAGGAACACTTACTGATCTTTTAGACAACCCAGGTTTGATTCCCAGAACCCATATAGAGTACCTTGTTACTGCCAGTAACTCCAGCTCCAGGGAATCATCTGGCCTCCATGGGGCCGGGCAATTCGTTCACACTTACGGACACACACACACACACACACACACACACACACACACACACACAGACACACACACACAAACACACACAAGCACACACAAACAGAAACAGACACAC